GGATGACTTCGACTTCGAAGAGGGGTCAGGCGACGAGGTCGACCCGGACGAGGACCCCCTGGGGTTGGCTACCACCAAGGGTAGGGGGAGGAAGGAGAAGGAGGAGGGAGGAAAAGAAGAAAAAAGAAACAAGTGGGAGAATGAAAGCCAGGCCAGCCGGTGTAAGCTAGCAGCTAGCACATGTTGCTGGGTTGGTAAGCCCTTAGCTGGGTTGGTAAGCCCTTGGCATCAAATCCCAAACCCCAGATGCTAAACTAAACCGTTTACCCGAACTCTAGAACTCATAAATACCCCTACTACGATCATAAATTCCACCTCTTTTGGAGAATGCCTTAAACTCTTCATACACCCTAAACCTTACAAAAGATCGTTCCTTTCATATGGTTTTTGGAAAACCCCCCAATCCCTTCTTTTCACAAATTCCCCAGAAGCCCTTTCATTTCATGTTGCAAGCCCTTCAACACCAAACCCAAACAGGTTTCGAGCGCCACTACGAAGCTGGAGCTGGAGAAGAAGATCATCGTGTTCAAGACCGAGCTTGGGAAGGAGATCGGGAACCTGGAGAACAGCATGCTTCAGATCAAGGAGTCAACCGTGGATGCGAAGACCAAGAAGGAGCTTTACAAGCTTGTCAAAGAGGCCGGGTTTTTCTGTCAGTGCACTTGATTAGTGAAATAACAACAACATCGCCAGGCAGTGACAAAGGCTGAGGAATCCAAGACTTGCTTGGAGAAGTTCAAAGGATCAGCGAAGATGAAAGCCGAGGATGTAGGATCTGCCTTGCAAGATGCAGTGGCTGCACTAGGACTTGCCAAGCAGGCGAAATCGCAGGCCAAAAAGAAGGTCTAGGAACAACGAGCCGGCAGGACGATCCGAGAAGAAAAAAACGGACCCCCCGCTGCTGGGTTGGCTAAGCCCTGTTATGTGTACCCGGACTGGACAGTCCACGCTGCTGGGTTGGTGTAAGCCCGATAAATGAACCTTAAAGTTTGGATTAACTCTTTTCGTGTAATCGCTGCCTCAAGAAAAGATTGTAACTTCCATAGCTTTTTGGCAAATTCCCTAAAGCCTAGAACCTTGAAACAAGCACCAACATCATATGTCTTTTGGATAATCCGCCGAACCCACTAGCCCGAAAAATTAACCTTTAGCTCCGTGTAATCGCTGCCTCAAGAAAAGATTGTAACTTCCATATCTGTTTGGCAAATTCCGCAAAGAACTCAGCATGCTATGTCTTTTGTATAATCCCCGAACCCACTCTTGTACCCAGCCATGGCAAGCTCGAGGAAGAGGGCAGCGAGCCCCCCACCAAGGAAGGAGCAACTGAAATCCCCTTTGGCTATTCTGCTTTTGAAACGATGGAGCAGTGGAGATATCCCAGCAGTTCTGGTTCAGGAAGTGGCCAGTGCAGCCGTCATGTCTGGCTGCGATGCACCAGATGTCAATGCACTGAAGAGATTGGGGTGTGACGGCCTGCAACCTGGAACCTTGGACTTTTACAAATTGGATTATGTTTGGTGTTTCGTAGCTCTACCAACAATATATTGTAGATACAGTATATATGTATTTGTATAAGTACCTGGAACCATGGACTCTTACACACTGGATTTTTTTGGTGTTCTTTAGCTCTATGAACAAAACTTAACTTAAGTACTTCGAACCATGGAAAATTGTAAGACTACACATAGGATATCTTTGGGGTTTCTTAGCTTTATGGAGACTTAATTAAGTGAATGTATACATGTATACATGTTTCTCTTGACAACCAGTATAAGGCAACATACAACGGGACCTCAAGAGAAACTTCTTCAAGGACATGGTGTTTCCGGAGTGCCGGATGATCAAGTCCACGCTGAAGGGCAAGAGTCCTACTGGAACGGAGACGGAATGCCCTGGAGAGGTACCTGTTGTTTTGCCGGAGGACTGGATCGGCTCCCTCAAGGACAGCAACTTCGAGGAGGTGTTGGGCATGGATGGAGTGGAAAACTTTTGGAAGGAGCAGTTGCAATGGGACAACCCCAGGATACAAGCTTCAAAATCGTTTTTCCGCAACCTCTCCAAAGACGCTGACAAGAATCACGTCGTGCCCTTTGCACTGCACCTTGGCCGCATCAATGGTCTTGGTACAGAAGGGCTGGACAGCCCAAGGATTGTTTTTGTTACAGAGAGGGTTGGACAGCCATGGGCTGACTGGCTCGAGAATTCTGGACTGCATTGAAGGGATTGGACAGCCCATGGATGTGAAAGAGTTTGATGGGTTGGACAGCCCAGAGGGAGGGCCATCAACCGCAACTATCCGAGAGATTTCCTTTACCAATGCCGGCAATGTGGAATGTACACGTACATAGGAAGACAGTCCTTCCTCCGAAGCGAGGACGGCCACTTGTGGTTTAGCTACGAGGAAGAGCCTCGTGTGCCATGGGCTCAGTGGCTTGAGAATTCTGGACTGCTTTGAATGGGTTGGACAGCCCATGGATGTGAAAGAGTTTGAGGGGTTGGACAGACCGGGATCCCAAGAATATCTGGAGGGAGAACACCCGCCACTTATGGTTCTGGACTTCTTTGAATGGGTTGGACAGCCCATGGATGTGAAAGAGTTTGAGGGGTTGGACAGCCCAGATGTAAGGAAGGAAGGCAGTTTGGGGGGTCACAGAAGCAACAGCCAGCAAGGACGAGATGATCGGGTGGAACAAAGGCATGAAGGAGTGACTTTGAGGAGGGGACCCCGGATGAGGAATGGACTTGATGCAGAAGGGTTGAACAGCCCATGGATTGTTTTTGTTACAGAATGGATTGTGGGTGTAGAGGACCGAGGCCGAGCCACGCATAGGAGCCGACGAGCTGAAGGACCCTGTAAGGAGAATATGGCCATGGCGAAGGAATGAAGACACAGAAGGGTTGGACAGCCAAAGGGTTGGAAGGGCTGGACAGCCCGTGTAACGAGAAGAACAATCGCTAAGGAACCCATGAAGATCAGAAATACTTTCAGTTTCGGTGAATGGACTGGATTGAATGGGTTGGACAGCCCAAGGATATAGGCTTAGACTTCTTTTTGTTCTTGGATTGTTTTTGTTACAGAATGGTTGGACAGCCCATCAGGATGTTTTTTGCTGTCACGAGAAAAAAATCAGGCACGGTGATGCCGCACCGCACACCGAGACTGATTCGCTGCTGACGGTGAGTATGAGGAGTATGACCTCGAAACTACCGGTGAACCACAGCCAGCTGGTGCCTTGGATGTTTAATCGGCGTGAAAGTCTAGAATACTTTTGTTTCCGAATGCATATTAAATAGTGGTTTCTTTTATAGCTAAAGTCCAAGCCTCACTGAGGTGTTGTTTACAATTCCAAAATGTATTGTCACGGAAAAGCTTTTGGCTGATCTGTGGGACGCCATCGTGGACAGTTTCAAACGGATGGCAAAGCATAGAACTGGGATGGTCTTTGCAATCATCGGTGACCTGGACTGGTTTTATTCTGAGTTTGCTTTCCCGCGACACAACCAGCAGCATCCCTGCCCGTGGTGCTGGTGCAACCAGATGCTATGTGTGCATTCGCATGTTTTGTTATGCTATTTCCCACGTATATGTATATTTATATGTATATGTATATGTCTTTGTATATGTATATGTAAATGTATATGTATCTGTTTATGCATGTACATGTATAAACAGATATGCATATGTGTGTGTGTATGAGACAAGTATATGTGCTATGAAGCGAAGGACAGATGTACCATGGAACGACCTGAGAGCAAGTGCTGCTTGGAGAACGCAAGTGAAGACAGCAGAGGACTTTTGCAACGAGTTCGGCGGCCACAAGCTCTTCGCCATCCCTGGCCTCAACCCACTTGCAATTGCTTTGGACACTCTGCACACATGGGATCTGGGCATAAGCTGCCACCTCCTCGGATCGTTTTTGTGGGACTTGGTTGAGGATTCAGGCCATGGAAACAGGGACGACCGCTGGAAAGAGATTTATGAGGAAATACAGTCCATTTATGAAGGATTGCATGTGGCTGCCAGCCAGAGAATCGGAAGATTGAAATGGAGGGACGTGGCGAAGTCCAACCAAGTATTTCCGGTTCTCAAACATGTGAAAGGACGCCGAGTTAGGCACTTCGTGCCGGTTGCTCTGTCGCTTGCAGAACGGTACAAGGAAACCTGCCTGAGATATTGTCATGCTGTAGTTGGTTGTTTTCACAGATGCTGCTACAGGATCCTTTTTTTTGGACCTTATCCGAGGACGAGGACCCAAAATCCCAGCATCGCTTCTTGGCCATTGAAGCTTTGGCGAAGATGTATGCACCTTGGATGTCTAGAATAATTGCCGAAGAGTTTGTTTCAAGTGTAGAGTTTCGCGAACTATAGGTTTAAGAAGACTGTATGTATCAGGATTTGGTGGACCAGCCGGATGTGAGATGGAAGAAGGAGGACCAAATCGCATTCAGCAAGTCCGTGGAGAAATGTCTGAAACACTACCAATGGCTTGGAAAACATTGCTTTGAGAAAAAGCTCTTGAGATATTCTATGGTCCAGAAGTTCCACCTCACTGCCCACATGCCCTCCACGGCCATGTTTATGAACCCGCGGTTGTAGCTTGGACCGCATTTCAGATTTTCCCTGTCCATAACACGTCTACGGGATTTGCAAGCACGCCTTCATGAGGACGTGGTGCTACGGTGCCGAGAGCTTCATGGGAACTATGGTTCATTTGGCCGGCAGCTGTGTGCATAGCACCGCCGCTGTCAAGCTTCCCGCTGCCATGATGGCCAAGTATAGGTTCCTGTGGGATCTTTTGCTCAGGAGGGTTGTGGACTTGGACTTGGATGACTGATCGAAGGCAAAATGTTATGCATGGGTTGGATAGCCCTACAGCACCGTTCATGTCTGTGGAATGATATAGGCCCGGGTTGGAGAGCCCGGTAGCTGCATGAACATGAAGATGTTTTTTTGGCAGTTCGAGCTGTGGAACCCAAGGCTTAAGTAGCTAGTGCAAGCAATGGCCCTTCAGAAGAAGCCCGCCATAAAGGCGGGGTAGCAAACTTTTATGTAGATTACATCGTTTTTTTGCGCCACTGCCAGGACCAGAAGGTGAAGCGAAAGCCTGCACTGAAGAAGCCGGCCCAAAGCCACGAGAAGATCCCCAAGGTGGACGTGTTTCTTCTCGCGGGTGAAGTCATGCAATGAATACACTACTTAGGCAAATAAGGATATCAATAAACGTTTTTAGTGCAATTTTTGGCCGCATCGAGGAGCAGATGGATGCCAGAGAAGAAGCCCTTTCGAAGAAGAAGCACCCAGATGCTGATGGAGAGGAGCCGAACCTGAGCCAAGCCTCGACACTGGTACTTCCAGGAGTTCCGGGAGCTGTGCTGCCAGAATACCCGCAGAAGGATGATGAGAAACCGTTGCTAGAAGAGCCTGAGCCGGAGCCTGTGAAAGAAGCCTTCAAAGAAGAGGACAAGAAGGACAAGGAGCCAGAAAAGCTCAGGAGGCTCACAGTGTCTTTGGAGTTCGAGGTCTAGGACTGTCTTTGGAGAGCTCGAACTGGGAAGCTCGAAAAAAAGGAGCAAATGCCCAAGGAGTTGGAAACATGGGTTGGGAAGCCCAGCAGGACGACAGATAGGGCCACGAGGGCAAAGCACTCATGGTCATTGCATGGGTTGGAAAGCCCAGTTAGCCACGCAAACCTTTATGGTGTTTTTATGTGCTAGCTATTTTTGCTCAACTACATGTGCTTTAAGTTCGAGCTAGGACTTTGAGCCAGCGGAGCCGCATGGATTCAGAGGCAGAATTGTCTGCTCGCTTTGCTGCTCTGGAATCTTTCTTCCAAAGTGTCATTGACGCTCGTTGTTCTGTTTTGGAGCAGCGACTAGCTGCAGTGGAGATCACGAACCAGGACGATCGTTGTTCTGTTTTGGAGCAGCGACTAGCTGCAGTGGAGATCACGAACCAGGCTGTGCTGAATTCTTTGCGGCACGTGTCTGGCGAGGTCGAAAACCTCGAGAATCGTTTTGCGGTTTTTGAGTTTGCCAACGGCCCCGTTAGTGAGGACGACTTTGCTGCTTTCAGGCAGGAACTTCACGAGGCCCTGAATCAGCTTCGTCAGCAGGTGGACCGTGCTGTGTCTGCTGTGCAAGCACAGCATTCGTCTGCCAGGGGAGAGTCCGATTGAGTTCAGCTCGAACTGGGAAAGCTGAAAAAAAGGAGCAAATGCCCAAGGGGTTGGAAACATGGGTTGGGAAGCCCAGCAGGACGACAGATAGGGCCACGAGGGCAAAGCACTCATGGTCATTGCATGGGTTGGAAAGCCCAGTTAGCCACGCAAACCTTTATGGTGTTTTTATGTGCTAGCTATTTTTGCTCAAGCTCGCCCATCATGGAAGATGAAATCATTCTGCAAAAACTTCGGGCCAGTGGAGCACCAACCCGCTTGGCCAAGCAGCTGTTGACCATCTGGTGTCGGAGTTTCATGGAGCAGTGTGAGGAGGAGACCCTTCTGGACCACGTTGAATGCCGGGGGTACCGCTTGGAGCTGGAGCTTGAGGAGCTGCAATCAGAACAGGCCGTTCGGAGCAGGCAGCTGGAGCTTATGTGGATCCGTCGTGTTTTAAAATCATAGACAGCTGTCATAGACACGATGGACTAATTAACAGATCGATGGGGATCGCCTTGTGAGGGGATTAAAAAGCGCATGCAAGGATCTGGAAGTCTAGTGCTGTTACTCAAGTGTGTATGGGTTGGGAAGCCCGGCCCAGGAATTAAAGATATATGTATATGTATGCATGTGTGTGTGTGTGTATTGCATGTCATACGAAATGATTCGTTTCACAACTGCATGCCAAGAATTGGCTGCATATGGGTTGGAAAGCCCAAACCAAAAGGGTTGGACAGCCCCTGCAACTATGGATTTTCTATTGATTTTACTGTGGATTTTCTATTGATTTTACTCTGGATTTTCTATTGATTTTATTCTGGATTCTCTATTGATTTTACTGTGCATTCTCTATTGATTTTATGCATGCTCTCTCGATTGATTTTATGGGATCGGTTTTGTGATATCCTCGATTGATTTTGACTCTACTCTTCTATTGAATTTCATGCAAAAGTTCTCTATTGAAAAAATCCAGAAACGCTTGATTTTACATAAATTTCAAAACCCTATTGATTTTTTGAAAAAATTCAATATCGGATGCTCTGGGAGTATCAATTAAGATCATACGTGTCGTACTTAAGGCTTCAGATGCATGTAGGAATAACAACACTTGGCACTTGCAATCCCTTTTGCTGCCGAGTAGCTTTCAACATAACTACTTGCACCCATCATGTTACTGATGGTACCAAGAACTGTACATGTTGCTTCCTGTAATAGTTCCAGTCGTGGCAGCAATATAGTGCTCGTAAATGTGGCTAACACGTTTCCACCGTAGTTAACTACGAGAAGACCGCTGCTGCTCTAGTCTCAGTAGTTCTATCCTGGACTCTCGTCAGTTCTAAACCCGAAAGCCAGAAACCGAAACCCCACACCCCGGAACCCTAAACCTTCAAGCCTTGTAGACCTGAAAACATGAAGCACTACGAACTGCAGGTGCAGCCCTGTCTCCGATGCCCGGAGCCGGGCTTCAGAAGCTCGGCTTTTTTGTGCAGTGAGATGGGTCGGGTGCATACGTCTGCCTGAGACGGAGACCCGTAGCCAACACGATCGTATGAAAGGCCCGGAATCCTAAACTCTGCGCCTTGAAACCCAATAAAATTAGTTTGAAACCGTCGGCACTTGCAGCACCCATCCCAATGTGCTGGAGGCAGAGCAGGACGCCGATGTGGGCCCAGCAGCCTTAAGTTGGGACCCTAGCGCTGCGCGTCTTGTGGTTTGACAGCGCGCGTTAGGCTGCTGCTGTTGGGTGTTCAGGAGTCAGGGTTTTGCTGGGCTACATGTGGTTATGGTGTTTTGTTTTTCGATGTTCCGGGTTTAGTCGTAGAGCTGTGTTTGAGCGATGCTAGTAACGCAACAAGGGCAAGCAGAAATTGCAATGGACAGCCGTCGGCAGTGACCGAATAGTGATGGTAGAAACAAATGGTACTTGACAGGTCTAGATACTCTTAGCCTTGCTGCAGTTTTGCTGTCCAAGGCGGTCAAGAGGACTCGTTTGGCTATCCTGAAAATTCTGACGCCGCCTGGCAGATGTTGGGTTTCCGCGAGCACAGGCTGTACCGTGATCTCAAATGTTGAAAGTTCAAACCAAGGGGTCTGATGTTTTCCAGGAGATTTTTAAGGTTCACAGTGTGTGGTGTGGCACTCCAGGATTCCGTGACGTCAGAAAGTCTATATAAGATTACATCAAGGTCGACGGACATGTGCTTCTTCGGGTTCAGGTCTCATGTTGAGGTCTGGATGATCAGTACTTGTATCCCCAAGCTCGCTACAGACTCGAAAGCTCATTCGCGAAAGTTCAAGCCCACAGGCATAATACCCTCAGCCCCAGAACATGGATGGTAAGTCGAGATCTGAGCTTCTACAGCTACGCGCGAAAAGCGACTACGACTTTCCACGGCCAGCATTTCCATTTCCCCACTACTCGTTGCAACTGTGTTCGTGGTTCTCGATTAAGACGGGATGGGTTACGAAGACGAGCATCAGAAGGCGAAGCTGACGCCGGGAAGCAGGCAGGATTGTATTGGACAGCCGCGGCTGGGACAGCGGTGCAAGCCTTCTTCATCAACTTCGCGCGGTTCCGTCAACCAAGATTCTCTCAACCCCGCTTCCTTCAACCATGTTCCCCGCTTCCCTCAACTCAGATTGTGCGTTTCTTTCAACCCCCATCGCCCGCTTCCCTCAACCCTGATATTGCCGATTCTGTCAACCCCCATCACCCGATGCCGTCAACGCATACTGTGCTGATTCCGTCAACTCCGCCCCCCCGTCTGCGTGCTGGGGGTTGAGTGAATCTGCGTGCTGGGGTTGAAAGAATCAGGTTGTGTATGGGTTCAACGAAGCAGTTCTTTGGGTTGAAGGAGTCATTTCCTTGGACATGGTTGAATGAATCTGCGTTCTGAGGTTGAAGGAAGCAGGTTTTGAGGTTGAAGGCATCCGCGTTTCCGGGTTGACAGAATCCGCGGTCAGTGGTTGACGGAATAATCGGCGAAAAGTTGAAGGAATCTGCGAGCGACCCTGGGACAGCACCTTTAAAATCAACCCGATTAAACCCTTACCCCTCCTAAACCCCAAACCCTAAACCCCTAAACCCTAAACCCCTGTACTCCAAGCCCTGAACCTGTGCCATGGCGGATTTGAGGTGGTCATGTCATGTGGGACGTATCCCAAGATAAGACATGCACCAGGTGCCTTTCACAAAGCTGGGACCAGCCGAAACCAAAGCCCCCGCAGTGAAGTCAGTGAGTAAAGACCCGCCCCCCCAAAAAAAAATTGGATCTAAAGCCCTCAGCCACATAATGAGCCGTCACGACATATAACACCTGCTCTCGTTTTAATTCCCAGACTCTTGCCTTGTGGTCCCTGAGGTGCTGACCAAACTCAAACCCAAACCCCTTCCCCCGAAAAGCTGAGGGTGTAGAGTTTGGGATTTGGGGACAGGTTCTTCTAGCGGTAGGCAAGAGCCTGGACGATGAATCCAAATTGGATGTTTTAAGGCTGCCATCTCAATGGTGCAGCCGATGTTGTGCACCATCGTGGCTTGGGCTCTTTGTTTTGTGGTGTGTCCAAGACAGGGGTCGGGATAACCAGCAAAACATCCCTGGCCCAATATGCGTCATAGGTGGCTTAGGGACTTCTTTGCCGATCAGAGGCTGTTTGGTTGGGACTACGTTTTGACGGGTGTCAGGGCTTCCTGATAAAGGGGTTTGCAGATGCCCTAAATTCTAGTCCCTAGACTCGAGACCGTCTTTTGTGTATTCTGCATGCTGCGTTTGCCCGCAATGCCCGCAAGGCGGGCGCGGCACGACGCTGCACCCGCAAGCACGACATTCTATGCCCGAGAGAGAGGGGAAGGGGAGCAGGCATCATAGGGGCATCTGAGATGGCTGCACGAGACTAGAACCCTGCACAGTAAAAGCGATGGGCAACTCACGAGAGTCCTGCGCTGGAAAACTCCGACACCAAGCAGCAGCCCGATTAAACCCGTCCAAGTTGCACGTTCTCCGAACCCGAAGTCTTCGTCGTAAGCACAAAAAGCCTAAACTCCTAAACCTTTCAACTCCACCAAAGCCCTAAACCTAGACAGTTAGCACGTCGAAACGCTGCCCACGAGGTGACACAAGTCTCACACGAGTACGCAACGGACTTCCTGCAGAGCAAAGAGGCCACACCTCTTGGAGGGTGTGAGTTGGAAGGGGAGGGTTAAGGGTTCCGAGTTTCAGGCGTAGAAGCTTCAAGGCGGGAGGACTAGTGTTTTGGCACGCGAGTCTGCAGAGCGCGCAGTCGGGTTGGGGAGCTTCGCACCCACACGAAACTAAACCAGTGGGACGAGATTTCACCATCCAGTCTTGTCACATTCTGATTATTTTGCAGCATGTGGCTCATGAGACTTTGACGAGCACCCTATACAAGTCAGAAGCCCTAATCCGAACAGGCCATGTCTATACATGAGGTCTGTGGGCTTGTGTGACTCCGATGGTATGAAGGTACAGCATATTCTCCAGAACACCAAACCCAGGCTCCGGTGTCTTGCCTTGTTCAATATCTGCAGTTCTCCTGTACAATGTTTCTCTTCCTGATCCTTGCCGGCCCCAAACCTCCAACCCCAAATCCCTTGAAGAGGAGAACAAGTCGACGGTCATCCGGCGCTGCGGCGTTGGGTTGGTGATTGACTCCACGGCTGGTTTGGTGCTGACGGACCGCTACACCGTGCCCCCTTGTTCTTGTCGTTGGAATTGGATCTTCAACCTGGCCGAGCTTGGAGTCGTAGTAGAAGTGGTGGTAGTACTACTGTTGTAGTAGCAGTAGTAGTAGTAGTAGTAGTAGTAGTAGTAGTAGTAGTTGTAGTAGTAGTGGTAGTAGTAGTAGTAGTAGTAGTAGCAGTAGTAGTAGTAGTAGTAGTCGTCGTCGTCGTCGTCGTAGCAGTAGTAGCAGTGGTAGTAGTAGTCGTCGTCGTCGTCGTAGTCGTCGTCGTGGTAGTCGTAGTCGCAGTCGTCGTCGTCCAGGCGGAGTTTGATCCGCAAGCCGCGCTGTCGACTTGTAACTACCCCTTTTGGATTGGCCCTTCTAAGTGTGCAGGGCTTCATCTGGAGGTACCCCAGCCGCTCGTGGAAGTGGAGCTGACCTTTGGCCAGACGGTGACTGTGAACGCCACATGCCTCTTCATGCACCCTCACCATAACATGGCCACTGGGACGCAAATACCCTAGTGTGTCTTACGTACTGTCAGCCCCAACGTCTAGGAGACTTCAACACTGCAAAGCCCTAATTACCCAAAAAAGCTCTTACTTCCAACGCCGCAAAGCCTAGAATCCACTAGCTGCGACGCCTGAAACCTTGAAATTCATCCCCAAATCCTTGTATCGGAACCCCGACGTCTCGATGTTCGAGTTTACCTGTTGAGGGTTCTCCAGGGGTCATGGCCCCGTTGCTGCCCGCAGAACACAGAAGTCCGGAAGGTGCTGTTGCACTATGCCCCGACAGCAGTCAAAGGTGGGAGAGTGTGCGGTCGTTTGCGAGTGCTGTTTTTCACGGCAGTTGTTGAATGTTTGTTTGGAAATATGGGATGTGGCTATAGACTTTGCAGGGGACAAGTTATGCAGTGTAACACCGCAGCTTCAATACTTCGTAGTCGCATTCCTGCATACTCCTGCCACGGTCGCATCAGAAGACAAAGGGCAATCCCTGCTGCATTTGTTCGGACCCTGCATGGCGCTACATGAAGTTTTCGAATGAGCCCTATCTTTGGCCAGATCTTCCCGTTCGTTCAATCGACCTCAGCGATGTGGCAGCGGGAGATGCGACCAAGACGGACGAGCTGAGTGCAGGCCGGGAAGGTGCACTTATTGTCTACAGGTACAGTAGATATCTCTGTAAGTGTCACTTTAGTTCACCCCTCTCTCTCTCTCTTTGTGTGTGTGTGTGTCTCTCTCTCTCTCTCTCTCTCTCCGTTTGTTCTCCGTCACAACCTGAGAGCCCGAACCAAAATCTAAACCTCACACCCGCAACCTGAAGCGCGAATCAGGTCAGATTCTGTCGTTTGTCTCCATCCATTCTGACCATCAGCTCTCAGCGAAGCAGGCCACCTTGCTGCATCTTGGAGGTTTCATACGATACACTAAAAGATTTGTATGCGCGACCAATGAGCTGACTATTTCGGTAGTTCGGGGAGTGCTTTTCGGCTTGCGGCTGCTAGGCCTTCCCATGCTCCGTCCTGGTTTAGGGCTGAGCTTCAGGGATGAGAGTGAGTCCAGGCTTTACGGTCCGGGGTCCATGGAAGCCCAAACCGCTTAGGCTTAAACCCGTCAACTTTTACCCCAAAGCATAGACCCTGAATCCTCGAACAAGCTTTGCCCGCAGCTCCAGGAGATTAGGCTGCCCTCTTCCTTAACCCCGGCTGTAGGCTTGCGGCTCGCGGTGTGGGATTTTTACTGAGATCCAAAAGCCCCTGCGTCGCAACAACAGCTTCCTGAAGTCGAGAAATCCAGGCCTTGTTCGCAAACACCCTATAGCCTCAAAACAGTCGCATGCGCTACAACAACCCACCCTACCACTTTGTTCCGGCTTTGCTAGACCTCAGACCTGCTTCCTGCCCTGGATCCTTAGCCCTCTTAATCCACTGGTGTTCATACAGCCCTCAACCCCAAACATCTCCTCTGGGAGCGCCCTCACGCGGTGACAGGTGACGGTCGGCAGCATGTGCCTCAAAGTTTGGCCGTTTCCGCAACCTCCAGCGCCTCGGCTGGGTCAGGAATCAGAGAGTAGAAGTGGGGATTTGAGGTTTAGGCGTCCGGGGTTTGGGGTAAGTTCAGGGTTTTCGGAAGTTCGGAAGTTTACGACTCAAAAACATCGTAAAGGAATTGAGGTTTGAAGAGCATAATCGCCACCAAGTTTGTGAGACAAAGAAAGTTCGATATCGACCATGTAAACCATGAGCTGCAGTGTCTCGATCAGCCCTAGACAACGAGCCGCAAACTTTGAGGCCTCAAGCACAAGTCGTTGTTTCTCAAGCCTCTACGCGCAGCCAGGCATACCGCGGAAGGAACCTGGAGATTTGTAACTTGCCGCTGGGCATGTTTGGTGCTTGCATCACGACTGTGTTTGGGTTTTCTGGCCAATTCCTGGAGTTTAAGGGAATAGCTCGACTTGCTTTGCGGAGGTTCAGTGGTTCAGGAGTCTAGGAGCGAATTCGGAGTTCTGGAGGTTTAGACCTATAGTCAGCTAGTCAACTATTCTGCGGCCATGGGTTCCGTGGTATTCTCGACCAAACCTGCTGCGTATTTTGGGCTTGGAAGCCAGGAACCCTGCAGCTGGCTACCCGCCATGTAAATCGTCACTCCTTCCCCAACCCGAAAAACAACCCAACAAGGCCTTACATTCATGCTCTTGTGTCTCGTGTGACTCTACTGTCTTGTTTTGGCCAAACCAGGAATGACACGCTCCACGGCTTGGGCGGGCTTCTGATCGAGCCAGCTCCGTGGCTCGGCAACCCTTCAACTAGGGCTTTGGGGCTTCGGGGTGATGTCGGGTTCAGCTACGCTTGGAGGAAACAAATGGGTTGAAGATCCAAGTGATTAAGTGGCTTCAATGGGGTTAGGTGTTCCGCACTGGTTTTGCACCCGCAGAGACTCATCGCACAGGGGCTCTGCACATCCTTGTTCAAACTAGTGAGAGATCTGTACAGTCGATTCTTTGAGGTGGCAGGGAGCATGAGACGAGCCGGCTTGTCACACTTCTAGAGATTCTAGGAGTTGAAAAAGGAACAAGCCCTAGGCGGAATTCCTTGAAGAATAAGTTTTTCGGGAAGCGCAAACCAAGCGATTGAAGGGAACCACGAAGCAAACGCCAGGTGCCCTGTGCGGGGTCAGATCGCTCCAAGTAAGCCCGAACGCTATGCTGGGACCTACAATCCCAAGTGGATCAGAATTTGGCAGTCATGTAAGCCATGCAAATCCTGCATCCTACAACAAAACTGCTGCAGACTCTGGGCACCAAGCGCTAGACCTCGTTCAGTCCCTTCGTCTTGAAGCGCCTCGTCCGTCGCTGAAGATTTTCCAAGTAAGGTGTGTGTCGGTTTTTACGGTGTGTTCCCACCCCATGAATCAAACAATGCAGTCTTTCCGCAAGATGCGTTTTTGATTATGAACGCCAAGACCAAATTGAGACTCTTTCTGGCGAAGTGCTTGTCGGCTGTAGGGTACTGAAAATCATGTTTCGATGCGAACGTGGATTAGAATTTGGAAGACGTCGGACGGCTTCAAGGGCAGGGTTTTTTAATGCTCGAGGTAAGATTTATATAGGTAATATGCTGTGCGTGTTTTCCTACGTTACGGCCATGGATGGCCTGTGGCAACGGATGGTGTCTGGGTGGACATTAATGGCCCATGGATGTCTCGTCTGGGTGGGCTGCATACCCTACATTACCGTAGGCCCAAAATGCCGGAGGCCCGCCCGAATTCGGACCCAGCATAACTTTGGGTCTGAAGGCCAAGCCTTGTATCCCATGTGGCAGGTCTTACCGCATCCGGGCCTGGTTCGCCCAGTTCCCGGCAGGACTCCGATTTGCGATGTTCGTTTACACTCGCGGTTTGGGACACGGTGGTGTTCAGGGCATGTTTATTCTCGTTTGATGGTCAACTTGCTTGAAGGATCTGGCAGGATATACAGAGGTTCGCAGGTGTTCGGATATTCTTCCTGTAGATTCCCGGAAGCTAACTCTGTTTTTCTAACGAGTTTGCATTTTGCTGCCACATTGCACCCCAACGCAGCAACTCGAGGGCCAAGCAGAAAGACTCTTCCGAAATGGTTGTCCTGAACTAGCTTGTCAACCCTGCCTCTAACCCTATATACGTAGTGCGTTCGAGATCCTACATTGGTTTGGGGCTCATTCCGGGCCGTCGGATCTTAGAAGGTGGGTGTGTGTAGGTTGCAGTGGAACCGATGGGAACCTGGCATAGGCCCCGGCCGCTGATGTGAATCTAAAAGCCGCATATCTTCTTTCTGTTCAGTCTTTTTAGTGTAAAAGGTCAGTAGCATCAACCAAATCACGCGACTTGAATAGGTTATGCCGAGCACACTTCTATGAAGAGTGTGTCATGCTGGTGAGGCAGCCTTCGATACCTGGCTGGCGTGCCCGTGCAGGCTGCAAGGAATTACCCAAACCCAGACACCACTCATGATTGAAGACCAGACCCTGTCCTCTTTCGTAGTATATTCAGACGTCTTGCGAAGTTTATGTTGCAGTACAGTCTCATAGAGACGTTTGTGATAGCACTGAGGAGGATGTGTGTGATCTTTGAAGGGTTTTCACGAAGCCTCGGGGTGTCGGGCACTTGGCGATGTAGCCGCGCAGATATTTTGTATCTGCATTGAATTACTATCCACAATATGAGCCATTCTGCATTTCAACTTATACTCGGGCCTGGCTGTAACCCATGATCCCAGCCCGGCTCGAGCATCCCGTCCGTGGCCGTTGCCTTGCCTGCGCTCCGCTCGCCTTGGACCTCTTGGGCCCTAGGCACAGTCTCGACAAGCCATGAATCCGCTGAAGAAACCCCAACTGAATCATTGCCCTCCCTTCTTGCAAGCCTTGAGTCTCGGCCCAGCTCTGCGGGACAAGCCTGGTGAAGCCCAAACCGAAATCCCACTAGACTCAATGTTTAAGGCCCTTCGGATCTAGGAAGAGGGTTTTGAGGGGAAGATCTAAACGCTCCAAGCACATCGGAGGTGTTTGCCGCTGTCTTGGCCTCTCTAGGCCTGCCTTTGCAGGCGCCAAATTAAGTTCCGGGGGCCTGCCGAAATGTTCAGCCCATCGTTAATGCAAGCAGTCTAGACATCGGTCTTTAGTGGTCCGAAGGTTTAGGTTTATTTGGATTTGGCTCTGAATGCTGGAGTTCAGGGTTTTTGATTAGTTAGGGATAGAATAGTTGAGTGAAGGAGACTTTCGATCGTGGGTTACACCATGCTGTTTCGAGTGGTCAGAGTTGTTGGTCGTCATAAGTCCGCAGCTTCCGGTCAGGGCCATGGTGCCGAGTGTTTTGGTTGGCTAGGAATCTTGCACAGGACTGCCTATCAAATCCAAAAGTCCTACAGCACTACATGGCGCAGCCTGACAGACAGTTTCGACGTCTAACTCGCAATTGCACCCCAAATCGGTGGTTAGGATCTGACTGGCATTATTATTATTATTATTATCATTATTGTTATTATTATTATTATTATTATTATTATTATTATTATTATTATTATTATATATATATATATATTATATATATATAGATAGCGTTACCCATCATGCTCCGAGCTTCACATGCTACGGAGGCTGGGGGCTTCAGATAAAGCTTCGGCTCTGGTGCACTAGTATCTTGGAGTTCCCAAGGTCTTGATGTTCCTCACACCGCTGCCGCAACGTAATTTTCCGATAGAGAACACTTATGACTGCATTTCCATTGCTCTGAAGAAGTCCCTATCGCATCGCGGCTTCCGGAGTCCACATATTGCTGCGCTTATGTCCACTGCCAGGCTTTAACAGGGCTGGCTGCAGGCGGCAGAATGCTGTTACCTTGCTAATCGGATGCTTTGTTGTTCTGGCCCCATCCAGATGGTCCGGAAGCAAACTGGCGCTCTCGCCCTTCTTGCCGCAAGCCATTCAACCCGACCCCAAGCACCAGCGACATCCCGGAAACGAGTGCACCAGAAGGAAACGAGCCATGGGTGACATCGTTCAGGGTGCACGGGTTCTTATACGAACGTGGCAGTCCTGAGCACAAAACCGGTGGCAGGGGAGCTGGGCTGGCAAGCGAGGGCCAGCTGTAGCCAGGGCCCTCAGCATTTTGCAGAGGTAGTGAAGAGATCCGATGGGTGCCTGGAAGGTTTCGGTGTCGGTAAGGCTCTGTCGGAGGATTGTTTTGCCGAGGCTTGCAAAGGGGTTTTGGTGGCATGGTTTGTGTCCCTCTTATTGTACGGCTTGATCCGAGCGGTTTATGTTGAAGACTGTCGGATGGAAGGTTTGCCGTTCAGCGAGAGTTCTGAGCGCAGGATGGGTATTTTGTTTGTTTATCAAAATTGGTGGTGACTTTACTGGCCAAACAATGAATAAAAGTTTTTGCTGATGTAGAAGCTGCTGCCAAACTCCATAAAAGGAGCTTCGTAGAAGCTTTGCAGAAGCGGAATGGATTCAATGCTCGTCGTAATGCCTGGGTCTAGTTCAACAGCCCAGCTTCTTATGCCCTGAACTTTTCCTGAGATACCGCCCCCGCCCCACGCCGCCCCTCTCCCCCCCTACGATTTTCGACTGCCAGACCGCTCGAGTTTTCGCTGGACGACCTGCATTGACAGAATTTGGAAATATATAGCAGTGTTTGCCACACACTGAGTACTTGCTTCGCACTAGGCTTCAAGAAGGGCCTCCGGACAAACCCAACTTCGCAACTTGGAAACACTCGAATCTCTCCCAGAGATGCCTCAACCTTTTCAAACACGATCCTACCGTAAAATGAGGTTCTATGCGTTCAACTCTCCCTTACCGACTATAAGCCGTAACCCGCAGCAACTCTCAACATTGCGAGCGTAGCTCTCGAACTCGAGTTGCCTGCCAGCAGGGAAGACTCGGAGGACCCTGAAAGGGACCTTAGTTTAGGAACCACAATTGTCAAGTAGATGAGGACCCCACGTTGGCTGTGGCGGCTCTGGAGTGCGAATTTGAAGAGGTCCGGGCGATTAACTTTCAGCTACGGGGAGGGCTCACCATAAAGTTGTGCCTTGCAGCTATCCGATGCCCAGGCCCTAAGCCAAAACCCCAAGTCTTACCCTAGGTCATAAATTCCAAGATCGCCTGCCTGTTGCTAGATGTGAAGAACGGACACCTCGGTCAAGTTTGAGCCCCCAATCCCGAAGACTCTGGACTTGAGGGTGCGAAATGAAAAGCCTGAGATGTGTTTGCCAAGGGATCGTTGCATGCTGTGTAGCAGTTTGGCTGAAGCCTGGCTGAAAGGATCGGGGTGGTGGGCGCCTCGTCCTATGGGCTCTATCTAAAATCTCGAGCTTCTCCTTGGACTTTGCGCTTTGCCGGGCCCGGATTTTGCATGAACACTCTTTTTGCAGAGTTTTCATGCTGGGCTCAGCGGTCTTAAACCTAACATACTGATTTCCGAACTAAATCCATTCTGGAACCCGACGTCTGAAACTCCCGTTAGCCTAGAATCTAGAAGGTTTGTTTACATCGCATACGCTGGAGTTTACGACTCTCCTAGCCCACGTGGGTCTTGGGTGTCTGGGCTCGAAAGCTGCGGGGCAGGTGTCTTTGGCCAAGGCCCGCCGCGAGGACCGCTTGCTTGCCCCAAATTTTAGATCTTGGCATGTGAGTGAAGCCTGCTAAGATCTTCGGTGCAGCCCATAAATATCACGAGCACGTATCGGAACTTGTGACAAGGACGTGCAAGAAGCTTACAAACGAGGCTGAGCACACTGTGGCACCAAGCCGGCGACGTGGTTCATCAACATCAGAAGCCACGTCAAAACATGTCCATGCCTGACGGTCGATGGACGGCCTTGACACATCCCCAAAGCCCTAAGACCACAACCAAATAATTTCCCCATCCATGAAGCCAGCTCCGAAAAAGCCGTTTTTTGGAAGGACGGCGTGCCCCTGGAGAATGCCCGGGCCCTGGCGGCCTGCAGCTCTGGGGGCCGGCGCCACATCCTCCGCGTGGGCCGCATCACCTCAGGCGCCGACACGCCATGTCAATGTGGTGTCCTATAAGGGCTCTATGGACTCTAGACTAGACTTTTATCAGGGTTCGTTTTGGTCGCCGGCATTGGGTTTAGGTTAAACGGTCTGAGGATCTGGTTGTTGGTGCGTGTAAGGGTGCTGCTGGGGCGCATTCGTCGGTGGAGTCGGAATGCGAACTCCCTCAACGACATTACTTGGAATCGCTCGGTAGCAAGCAACGCCATATCCGAAATCATATCCCAAATCGGAGCTTCACGAGAGCCTCAGGATGTTCAGTTTGACCAGATCTCAGTGTAGATCAGTGTTGTGCAGCCAATTCTCCCCATGTAAGGCGGCGGCTGCGACGGCGTCCTTCTGGAGGGTCTCCTGCCTCAGCATAACAGTTGTCAACATCTTCGGCAGAAGACTGTCGCGCTGTCTGAGAGCTCGTCGGACAAGGGTGGCAGTGGTGATGATGACCCATGGTGCAAGTTATCATAGTGGTGCACTGTTCATGAAGATAAGGTGGTGGTCACTGATGGTGATGGGGATGCTGATGTTGGTGATGGTAGTGGGGATAACAATGAGGATCATGCACCCACAACCGTGAGTTTCCCAAATGTCACCTATGTGTGGCTGGCCGTTCAGGTGCAGGATTTAGTTTGCATCAGCCGCGAAAACTGGACTGCATGTTCCAAGTTTACGGAACCAATCTCAGGCGATCTCATCCTTAGCATCAACGGCAAGCCGGTGACGAAGCCACACGCTTCCTGGCTTCAAGTGTCCATTCAGCGCTCGTAGGGCATAGGATATCTAGTTTCAAGAAGTTGTTGGGCGGCATTGCCTCGAGAGTTACTAATCATACATTCTTGACTTCCGTTTTCTTGCGAATTGGAAACTGGACTGAATAAGACAACAGGTCGCGGCGACTACAGAGACGAGTTGGGTTATGTCAAGTTGTGACACCCGTTTGGGTTGTACACTCTACTGAGAAAACCTATCGCTTGATGCAACTGTGAGCTCCCCGCTGTTGTTGTCAGGTCGGGGCTGCGGGTAAGGCTTAGGTTGTCGATGGCGCATTTGGGGCTTGGTAGTGTCTCGCCGAGTGTGGGACCAGGCCGGAAAGACGCTCGGTGAAAGTTTCTCTAAGTGCCAAGCCAGCGAGTCTTGAAGTTTCGCGCTGTTCTCGTCTTCTGCACCTGAAATATGCCGTAGAATACCCACAAGCCGCAACACTGACAGGTCTTTACAGCCTTACGTGCGCCTAGACCAGGCCAGCCTCATACGGTTACGAATACGGTTACAGTCAAAGACTCCCTGCACAGTCCGATGATTCGTTCTCAGGAGGTGGAGCGAGAGATGCGCAAGTGCCACGTAGCACGCGCAGCACCTGGGCTGAGCTTCGGAGACTTTGAGTGCGCAAGCCCTACACAACAGCCAAACCAAAAGTGTAAAACCTTAGTGCGGGCCTCAGAGTTTGTCTGTTTATCTAGCCCAGGAGGTGAATTCGATGTCTTGGCGAGTGCAGCGGTCCCGGCAGCCCGTTGATCTAGACCTGAGGCCATCGGCTTCTGGGTAGTTTGGGATTGGGCTGGGGCCTGGGGGACTTCAGGAGTTTAGGGATATGCGATTCCGGTTTGGGGAGCAAGAGATCAGGGGATCAGGGGTTTAGTGCCCAGACCATGATGTAAGCCGTGGAGTGAGATGATCCAACATGTCTGGCAATACCCAGCAAGATCAAACTGTCTTCCTTTCCCATTAGCCCAAACTAGCCACCCGTGGTGGCTTTCCAAGAGTCAGAGCTGCAAACTGTGCATCGGACTGCGATTCCTTGGGAGGCCCACGTTGCTCCACTCCGACGGCACGGAGCACATCGTAGCCCCTTGGTTAAAAGCCAGCAGTCCGAACCACTTGAACCGTATATATCAGAGACTCATCAACAGGGCACTCGTCCGCTTATGCTTGAAGAATCAAGGACTAAGGGCATAGGGACTATAATGCAAATAGAGTAAGAGTGAGAATCTGAGTCAGGTTTTGGGTAAAGCAGGGTACAGTATGGTATGAGAGAGCACAATGCATTGCATCATAATACAGCACAACATCGGACGTCATACTCTGCTGTGGCTTTTATCCCAAATTACACTGAAATACTTCATGTTACTTACCATACATATGTACCCGAAGCCCAGGCCCTGAACGCAAGTCTTTTTCATAAGACCCAAACCCCAGAGCAGGACACTAGACCCTAAAGAGCCCAAACCTTAAATGCCCAACCCTAAGCTATAGAGAGCCTAAAGCCATAAACTCTGAAATCTTGCCAGGTGTTCAACGGTGTAGTCCTCCGACCGACGCCTCGTGCGGTGGCGGAGCGGGGTGGGCCGACCCTACCCTTCACCCGGCCGGGGCAGGCGGCCTTGCGACTCAAGGGTTTGGGGCCTGAAACGGTTCAGAATTTCGAGTTTCAGCGGTTCGAGCTCAGGGTGCGGACTCCTGGGCAGCAATTTGTTAAACTGCGCGGCCTTAGTTTTTCTTATAGTTCTGCAGCACCCCACAGTTAAGCGCTTTGGGTTCCTAAGATTCTGTGTTTTTCGAGCATTTAGCCTTCCATTTCCTGGAGCAACCGACAGCACGTACCAGAGATGTTGTTGTTCTACGTTCCAACAGCCGCAATCCTTATAGCTCCATCATGCTGTTCGCCTTCGCCTTTAGATCCACTCAAGCCGGTCGAGTCTCTCCAAGAGGCTCGCCCAAGGCGCCGGAACTCTCAGCTTTTCCAGCACTCCCGAAGCAGTAAACCTTCCCCGAAACCCTGCCCAAAGCTCCGGCACCTTTCAGGGGCTCTACTTCTGGTCGCTCGGCAGGATAGTGCCATCAGTCGTGTACCGGGACTTTGGGGACCCTGGGGTTCGAGGGTGAGCGGGCTCTAGACTCTAGAGTGGAGAGGGGTTAATTCGAGGTTTATGCAAGACTTAGGGTCTTGGGACAGTTGGGGTCTTGAGGGTAGTGCTCTGATCTCGACTCAGCGGTCATTAGATTCTAAGCTGTTGAGATGTTGGAAATAAAGTTTTTGTTGGTTAACGCCCTGCTTGTTTAAGGGTTTTTCAGTTTAGGGTTCGGTGCCCGCAGTTTAGGGTTTGGGGCTGATATCAGGGTTGACTTGAATCGTGCAGGATTCAAACCCTTCCCTCGGACGTAAGACCAACTTGATTTTTGAACCCAAGGTACATTTATCCGGGGTCGCCCGCGGATACCTTCAGCTTCGCTGACAGCCGTGCGATGCGTCGCCAAGCCTGCAGTCAGGACTCTGACGTTTTGTTGTAGATCAGTTTTTTTAAAGTCGGCTGTCCAGGGTCGAACAAGATTTTTGGGCACATGTACAAAACTCAGCATCCATGTATACACATAGAGGTTGTCAAGGTATGTTTCAGCTTTGTCATGGGGCGTTTGATAGCCACGACATTGCACGACATGCCTGAAGATTCAGTGTTCACATCCTGCTGCTTCTTTTTCTGCTGCAAAAGGGTTTTGGCTACATGAGCACGGTGTCATTCTTTCCTCAACTATGCTTCCGTGGTTTGAGAAGCTTTGCTTTGAGGCGGAAGAGGAATGTGTCGATAGCTTGGGACTGCAGAAAATTCACAAATCGTGCCTTTCCTCGTGAGGTCTGGGTTTTGAGGTCTTACAGTCTAGGCCTGCATTTGAGCATGTTTGAGCCATGTTACAAAGCGTGCCCGTCAGACAGGAACGAAAGCTTGACGACACTGCTGTAACTGTAGAGAATGACAATGACTGCAACTTTGATCAGCAGGTGTTCCAGAGGACCTGTTTGCTTTTGTTGTGTATAGCAACAATGCTCCTTTTTTTAGGTCATAGCAAGTTGATCCCTTCTGTGGTCATCCTTGCTGTGGCCGCAGTCTCGGCCTACTCTATCAACACTTCGTGCTGCGCACCCCATCCAATGCTCCACGCCCTTTGAACCTCTGCGGACCAGCAAACGAAACCCACTCAAGGTAATCTCGGTTGGCTCGTGCAACTCAACAATGAGCCGACGCCCAGCATCGATGCTGGTCCAGCATTTCATCGGGCAGGGTTTAGGCCAGACTATGCTGCCTTCTTGAGATCCTGGTTGTGACAAGGTTTTACATCAGTGCCCGACGTGAGCATTGGCTCCGGTTACATAAACTTGGAACCCGAGACATGCAAAACCAACCTCGAAACTTCACCCGCCTCGGAACCCGTCACTCGTATATTCATCGGCACTGATCTTTGCCCGCGGTCACAGCAGTAGGGCGTCTCTGCCGGCTGGGACAACCATGTGCCTACGCATTTCTACGGCCGGGTTCACAACGAGCTGATGGGTTTAGGGCCAGGTGAGGACTTCGTGTTGCATAGCCGTCAGCTGAGCGACAATCCTTGACTTGCCATAAATTCCGGTTTGTGCCTTCGACAGAAGGTTGCTTCCAGTTAGACGTATGCAGACTGCTACCATCTTCTGCCCGAGTCCTAATAATCCTTTGGAATACCACGTCCACGGACGTCGTCCGCTGACAGCATCTACTACGGTAAAAGCTAGACCGCCGAACCCTAGACCATCCTAGACCCCTAAACTCACAGACATAAGCCAGCCCCAAACTCAAACCATACCGCAGTTCCGGGATGCCGCTAAAAGCCCAGGAGCGGCTTTTGGAGATCATCCATTCGGGAGCCCTCAGCGGTTGCCGCTGCAGATGCACCTAGAGATGTTTGTTTGATTTTGGCTTTGCAGTGACTGGGGTTTCGTGCAAGCAGCCCTAGGTATACGTGCTAGACGTGTCTGTGTATACATGTGTATGTGGATATATATGTGTGAGATGCGGTTTTTCTCGGCTTGTGGCGTCGGGCACAAGTATGCGCGTGCGTATGCAACATTACACAGAATGTGGATAGTAGCACATCTTCACATCTTCCGACAGCTTGCCACATCAACAGCACTAACTATATGAGAAGTAGTAGGAACAGCAGCAGCAACAGCTGCAACGATGGTTAAAACCCTAGAGGCCCTGAATTTGCCTAAACCTTCAGACCGGCCTCGGTACCAGGAAGCCAAAGGCCAAAGGCTCCCAAAGCCCCTGAGCCCCTGAGCCCTGGCCTAACACCTCCCTTCCGGACTTCCCGTAGTTTGGCAAAACCGAAGGCGAGTGGCTGCGGTGCCACGTCATGGATGCCGAAGGGCGGCTCTCCGTCCGCGCACTGAGGCGTGCCTGCGAACCTGATTGGCTGCATTTAGACTTAGGGTTCTTACGGGGTTCCAGGATTTTTGAGGTTTTTAGGGTTTAGTGCAGGGTGTTTAGAGCACCTCTTAATTCAGAGCGTTCGACTGGGCTTTGTTCAGCTGTTTATTATGTTTCTTCAGGGTGTAGGGTTTTGTGTAGGACCTGTGCGGAAGGATTCCTGTGCTAGTTGCCGAGGCTCAAGTGGGCTGCGGATGTAGCAGACTGCGACAGGTAGTCATCCTTTAGGGGTTCCGGATGTAGCATCGGAGAGGTTTAGGAGTTTAGGATGTGATACTCCACTGAGAAATCTTGTTACTTCACAGCCCCGGTTGGATGCATTGCATACCGAGCAGCCTCATTCTGATTCTTTCAGTGAGAGAATCCTGCTTTTTGGTGAGTCAGGTTTCAGCGAGTTTCGCGGCAAAAGCCCTCACGGAGCCAGGCCCCCAAATCAACACTGAAGTCTCCAAACCATTGCATATTAAAAATGTCCTCAAACCCTAGGTGCCCAGGTCTCCAACACGAAGCAATGGCGCGATTTGGGAGAATGGTTGTAGAGCTTACCGTAGGGTTTAGAGAAGAGTGCTTTGGGTTTAAAGAGGGAACGAGAGGAGGTTTCTTACAGTTGTTGGCGCTGATGCGCGGGTATCGTATACGTCGTATACTAGCCCTACTACCTAGCGGGTGCATTGAGGTCAGGTATTTTCCACAACTCTCATATTCGTGCGCAGGCCGTAATCCTTGGATATTAAATAGACCTCATACCCAGGATTGCCGTCTTTCAGGTGCTGCTCGCTGGTTTCTTTGCTCTTGAAGGAATCTTGCACCACAAGCTAAACCCTACATCCCAAACAAACCCAAACCCTACATGACTCGCCTACTGTTTCAGACCCGTCTAAACCCTTCCTCCCTAGACCTAAGCCTCATAAACCCTAAATCCCTGTAAGCCTTAAATCCGAAACGTCTATCAACCCTAAACCCTAAGCCCCTAAAAGCCCCAGACCCTTTTCCAAGCCTCACTCGTGCGTTTGTCAGGCCCGATTTCGAGTTCTGGCCGACCGTCGAAATTGTGCGACCAATCTGCACCCCGTGAAACCCCAAAACCCTGCCTTTAGGGGTTTTAGGGGTTTAGACTTTGGAGACATATTGGGGTTATATAGTGGGTGTTACTTACTTAGGGTTTGGTAGAGTTCTCTCAGTCAGCTTTCAACGGGTTGCAACGCCAAGTTCATATTGTTTTGGCGGGTTTCTTCACCACGAGTGCTTGAGGAAGTTACTTTGTCGGGGTATAAGTTGAGTTTTAGCGCTTCAGGATTACGCGGTAGAGGGTTTAGACTTTAGGAGTTCCGGGGATGCCGAGTTGCAGGGTTTTTGGTGCTGTTCTTCCCAACAAGGTACAAATTCGGATCCCCAAAAGTGCGTTGCATGGTTGCATTGCAAAGATACAAACCTGTGACCTGGCTTAAAGTGTAAAGGGCTGCCCACATGTCGCAAGGTCAGAGTTTCTGGTGCATGAGTAAAGGATAACGCAGTCTTCTTGTGTAGGTTTCCATTGAAGCCAACAAACTCCACCAATTTATGCTCCTCCACGGACCTCGAGGCTGTGCCCCAATCTCTGAAGCCTCTGTCAAGGCGAAAGAAGCAACAAGAAGATGACGAATACAAGACGCCCACTTGGGTGAGGCTTGAGCATCCAGCCTAGCCGTGTCTGCTGCACTGGACGCAGCTAGAAGACTCACGACCGAATAATTGACCCAGCACATCAGCTTCAAGAATGTGACATGCACAGCCTAAGCCCTAAACCTCCAAGCCGGTGCCCCTCAACCCTAATAACATCGAACCGCATGCCTGCTTGAGTGTGTGTGTGTGTGGGAAGAAGCGGAGAACTCGATTCCTTCATTTCTTATAGGTGCATCTTGCGGCATCATCTGATGACTCAGTCGCAAGCCTCAGCAGGTTTGCTTATGCATAGATTTGTGTTTTTCCCCTTGCTTTTGCTGCGACGTCGCGCAGCTCTAGCTTTCAGCTTGCGTCTGGCTTGTTTCAGTATCTAATGAGGCCTTCTCTACCCATGACTGCGCCCCCCAAACCTAAACCCTTCATCCCAAACCCGAAAAGATCCTGCTACGCCCCAAGTCCTCTAGTTTAGACGGGCGAGTCTTGTCTGTCCAGAAGCAGAGAGTGAGAAGCTGGGGCTCCTCCAAGGGCGTTCCTTTAGGGTTTGGGGTTTGCTTAGATTACGCTTTGGGATTTGGGCCGCCTAGCCAAACAGCTGGAATTACGGACTTGACAAAGTGGGCCACCTTTCTGGAGCCCCCTACCGAATCTCCGCTGCTGCCGGCCCGATGGAGGCAGAAGTCGTTGGTGCCAGTGGGATTCACACTTCAGGGGGCTTTGCGGGTTATTAGGAGTGGGTGTACAGGATTCAGGTTTCGTGCCTGTAGGTGTTCTATTGGATATTGAAGCAGAGTTTGTGCGGTTGTCACGCGATTTGTAATATCCCAGGGAAGCCTGACGCAGAACTCTTCTTTCTGCCAATAATTGGGAGTTGGCTTGCTGCATCAAACTTATGAAAGCTCTGTTCCAGATCGGATTCTGTTTCGACTTGTCCGACAGCGGGTGGAAGGTAAGTGCGTTTCGTTACAAAGGTCTGGCTCCGTAGGGCTCCCGTGGCTCCGCTTGCCTTCCGTCTCATGGGTGTCGTGACTTACTGTTCTGTGATGTGTCGTGGAATTAGCTCCACAGAGTTGAGTGAAGGTGTGGGTCTTCAGGATTTGGGACGGTGCATCCATCTGGCTTCGGCGTTCATCGCTGGAAGAAAGCTGCCGCCGCACACGACTGGCACAAAAAGGCTCCTGCGTCGTCCATCCTCTGTGAGCACAAGGGAAGCCAGGGTTTAGGTGTCAGGATCTGGGCCCCTGGGCTGGGTGCTCTGAACCCTTCTGCACCAATGGACTTATGCCGACAGCTGGAACCGCCAAGAACGCCCCCGGACCCAAAGGGTTAAAGGGTTGAAGTCCAGGAACACGAAACCAATAGTTCACAGGATGCCAGGACCGCACTGCGGCCGAAACCAAGCAAAATTGCAGAGCCTTACGGCTTCAGGCATGTACTCTTAGACGGGCTTCTGAACAACGGATTACCCAGAACAAGGGGCCGGCAAGCAAATACATGTAGGGGAGGTCAGGGTTCATGATTCATTATGTGCTTACGGTTGAGACTTGTAGATTGGTAGGAGCAGGGTTTAAGGTTCTAGGTCGCTGGTACTCAGGGTTTTTGGTCGAACAACCACCCACCCCTCACGTGTACTGATGTGTGAAGCTTGATCCGTAGTAGAAGCTCAGAGGGCCCGAGTCAATCGTTTGGTCTCGCTCTAGTTTGGTCCATGTCTCTGTGGTTCTTGAAGCGAGGCATGCTATGGCAATGAAATGCAAGTTGTATGTGAAGGGGGCCAAATGGGATAGCCAACCAAAAGCTTTGGATGCCCGTACAAGGCCCCTTATACCCCGAAGCCCTGAACATCCCTGAACTCCAAGGCCGCGTCCACTCAAACTCTACCCCTCAAATCTTAAACGCTCTGCTCACAGCCACCGAACACCCAGGCATCAAGAGGACCACCTCCAGGCAGATGTTGCGAGCCAGGGGCTCCAACTCAGGGTTTGTAACCACGAGCTTCGAGGTAAAGGATGGGTATGCTTAGGGCTTTGGGCTTTCTCAGACCTGTAGGCATTTAGGATTCAAGGTTTAGAATCTTCGAAGGGCCTCTGATCAGTCCTCATGTTTTCTCTCTGTACCAGTCTACTTGATTGGGGCTTGAGGGTTCACAATCTGGGTGAGTGAGTGTCTCAGGTGGTAGAGAGTTTTAGCACTGCGTCGTTGTGCTGTTTGTTCTGAAAGCTTGCGCACACCGTTCTGATTCTTACTGGATCGTTGTTGGTTCCGGCTTTGTACTGTGCGACGTGCATCTCCCATATTGTCGCACGACAGAAACCTCTCCCCTGGTGACTGTCGCGAGGGTTGCCTGCAACCTTCAGCACGATCGAAGCCCTAAGCTGCGATGAACACCGACTACCGGAACCCTGAAGGTCCGGTGGGATGATGTCTTCAGCCACCCTGAACGTTAATCGAGACTCCGCCTAAGCACCTCAGCCTGAGGTTACGCCTCCGTAATCGCGGCCTGCGCCACCGCCCAGCGCTGGGCCACCGGGGCCGAAGAATCAGAGTTCAGGCTGTGTCCTGTCGAGTTTGAGGACTTCAGGGCGAATTTCAAGGCATTAGGGTTGCAGGGTTCAGGGTTTCGAGGGTTTTGCGTGTTTACTGGGTGGTGTAATTCCTTGACTGGATCTGACATGTCCTGAACAAGGCATTCAACGGGTTTCAGCTTGGTATTCCTAAACAGAGTCTGGAGGGGTTTGTGGGACGGTTTGAGCATTGGGGTTTCAAAGTTGAGATGCGAATCGAAGCAAGTCCTGTAGCTTCCCTACGTGGATCTTGCTTGCAGAGTGCTAAACCAAACCCGAGTCCTCCAACCTGAGTCCTGTTCGGACTGTTCGGGGAATCAGAGGGTCTGGATTTTGGAGGGTTCAGGTGCCAGGGTGATTAGGGGTCCTTGGGGTTTGGAGACTATAAGAAGATAAAGGGTGTTCGTAAGGGTTTACGCATGGACAGTGACGACGTCCATGCCTTGGTGGACGCCTGGACACTAGGCCCTAGGCATTCGCGTTCCGCGTAAGGGCGCCTGCCGCGTTGACTGCTATAAGGATGTGAAGAATGTGAAAGTCACACTCGAAGCAGGTCGGACGCAGTACCTGGGCGGTGTATACCAAGTTGTGACGGATGATGGGAGGAGATTGCTTTCAAAGATGCCTCATGACATGAGGGAGCTGGCCAGTTCATGCCGCGGGCACAGGTTGGATCAAATCTGGAGTTTACAGTTTATAGGGCTTATTGTGCTAATCTTGGGAACTCGAGAGTCATCATTGCAGAATGGTAACGCCAATGTATGGGGTCTCAGGTTGTCGATGTCGGGTCCAGCATGGTCCAGCACTGGCTTTAGGCTGTAGCGTCCCGGGTCGGCCGTGCCTCTGGGTTCAGCCGTCAGCCCTGTGTTCCTTAAGGCTCTCTGATGCATGCTCAAATTACATCGTCCTGTGAGTTTCGGCTTTGCTGGTTTGCGATCTCAGACAAAATATACGAAACCCTGAAACTGAAGCGGCGTGCTCACACCGAGTTTTCAGTGAAAGCCTGACGACAGTTCCGCTGAAGGTCGCGGCAAAGTCTATTTCACGAGTCATCCTTCAATCAGCTGTCGGGCCATAAGCAGACCAGAGGCTCTCGGGAAGCTGCAAAAGGGAACGAGCCCTCGACGAAGTACTACAGGATGGTATTATACTATGAGCGTACCTTTCTTCTAAGGGTTCCTTTACGGGTTGTTCTAGAACGGGGTTCACGGGTTCACGGGCACTGAGGAGTACTGCCTCTCAGTACTCAACGAGGCACTGGGAGAAGGCCACTGTTCGAGGGTTTTGTTTGGGGGGTCTGGAGGTTGGGTGTTGGGGTTTAGGATTTTCAGAATTTTAGTTCCGTGTTTTGTTTTTTTGCGTTTCATAGGGTTTTGGGTTTGGGGTTGAGGTTTGGGGTGCAAGGGTTCAGGTTTGGTGGTTTGGTCTTAGGTTTCGCGTGTTGAGGTCTGGGTCTCCAGCGAAGCTCAAGACCTCTGAGTATTGGGGAGTTTCTGAAACTGAGGAACCTCCACATCCACCCCAACTGAAGAGGTCTTCGTTGCACGCACCCGCGAAGGGATGCTTGTACATAGACATATCATGTTTATGTGGTATGTATGTATATACATATATATATATAGGCTATTATATAGTAACATAACACACACATATGTATATGCATACATAACATAATGTAACCAACATAATTTAAACAAGCAATATAATAGAATATACCATTATTGAGTAACATATATATATATATAGATATTGTAATTTCTTAATGTTTTGCATGATACATACTGTGCATATCTACCTACACCCAGGTACATGCATATGTACATGCACATGTAAGCACATATATACATACGTACGTACGTACGTACGTACGTACACACACATACACGTGCATATTCACATGCATACATGCATACATGCATACATGCATACATACAGCCGTCCATCCGTACATAGATGGGCAGACGGACGGACGGACACCCGGCCAGACGGACAGACGAGACGGATAGACGCACGGACGGACGGACGGACAGACAGAACAGGCCGACATCAGGCAAAATGAAGGGAAGCCGGACAAGGGGGTGGCAAACGAACGCAAAAACAGGGTGTCTCCAAACATCGGGACTGCAGGGAGGAGGATTAGGTGGAGGGTACCTGAGGTAACCCCCAAGACGCCTGGGCCTGTGGCCTCGGCGGATTAACCCTATCAGGAACCCGTACAGTAGCCCTGACGGACACCCTTGCGGCAACCTTCGCATAAACCCGTATAGCCCCCTGGAGGAATGCTGCCAACTCCGGCAATCTTCGGCGCCACCCTCGGGGCCTTGGCTTGGGCCCCGGGAACGGGTCGAGTTCGTGGATTTTCCAGCTTCAGGTTCAGGCTTAACCTGTGGAGGTAAGGTGTAGGGCTTGGTGAGTTTACTGTGTCTGTGTGTGTGTGTGTGTGTGTGTGTGTGTGTGTAGG